GTTATGTCACTACTTAGATAAAGAAACGTTCGGAGTACTGTACCCGAATTTTGTGAGATTTCTTTGGGAGAATAGGATTCAAGCAGGAAATCCTCGTCTCAAGTGTAAGCTGGATGTTCTAGAAAATGCTGAACGGCGAGAGTTTAAAACTGTAAAAGGCCACTCTAGCCTATCTTACGAAGACAGACTTAGATGCCTCAACATATTTTCATTATCTCACTGCGGGTTATGAGGCAATCTAGTACTAGCTTACGGTATTCTGAATGATGACCTTGATATGTCTCATCTTTTCCTTTCATTTAGAACTGCCCATCTAAAAGGACATTCTAAAAAAGTTCAAAAAAAGGGATCAAATCATTTACATCTAGGGTTCGCCTTTTCACACTGAATGGTGAATTACTAGAATTCTTCACCAGAACACATAATATCAACACCTTATTTGGATACGTTCAAAGAGGGGTTAGACCTCTATGATGCTACAAACTGCATGGATTAATACTGGTTAGAAGACCTCCGATCATCACTAGTAAAGATTTAAAGACTGAATGTTAAAATTACAGTAATTGCAAAGTAAACGCTTTTAAAAATCTAAACACTGGAAATTGACATTACTTAATATCGAAAATCGGCACTTTCTATTGAGTTAAAAAATTAAACAAACCATTTTTACTGATGTTTCATTACTTAATACTGATGGCGTTATTAAGCTGGTAGTCTTATCTTGACGAACCTATTAGCATTAAATGATGAAACTTTAGTAAGGACGGTTTTTTTTAAATTTGCCAAAACTATTACTCACTACATAGCTTTCTCGATTTAAACTTAAGATTTCTAAGACGAAGTTCGCTGAAGTTTTTTAAACACCGTACATAATAAAACGCAGAGGTGGCATTCAACCACACGCTGCCGATTTGACATGATTAATAATATCCATTTATAGATATCATGAAGCATGTTTTAGTGAAAGTTGTGACTTACTCTAACAGTTTTAGAGGTTCGCCCCTTGGTACTGCTACGTACCTATGATTCTCCATTATGTCGCCAACGCTTTCTATCTTAGTTCCCGTATTTGGTGATACGATACAACGGATAGCAGGAACATACTGTCCCAACTGCTTCCTCACCTGTTCCATGAATGAGCTCCATGTTAGAGCTAGTCTCTGATTGATAAAAACGCGTCTCCCCGGGTTGAATGTATCTCCATTTCTATGAACTATAAATGATACGCCATTTCGTCTATCACAAGATGAGCTTTTGACTCTACAAAGACAAGCAGTGCAACGGCGCGCATAAACAGACATTGTATAAATAGATTTTTGTATTGCCACCTTGTTAACATTATCAAGGTCAAAAGCGCAGTGTGTCGAATATGCCAAACTTAACTTTATAGAATAGAAGAAATACTTGTCTCTTGGGATTAGGCGTGCGTGTTGTGATAGCCTTCTTGATAATGGAACAAAATTTCACGAGGCACGAATAGAAAACATTAATTATTGTTCAAGCAATTTGCATCGATACAGTTCTAGCAGAGAATATATTAGTGATCTAAAAGTTTGAAATATTCGTTCCGATCCACAAATCCGTCTTGAGATACAAATGTTTTTATTTTGATCAGTGACAGAGAGTTATTTTCAGGGAAAAATTCACATTATTTTCATAGCATTATCTGAGTTTCGAAGGAATACATATATCACTATTTCTTAGCCGTTATTCGGCCTTATCCAGAAAGGATTCAGTGGACTATAGCAATCCTACCAATAGTACCAAGAAAACGAAATCTCTCTTTATAAACGTGAGAAGGCATCGATAATTGTTTTTATGAGAATATGCTAACTACAGAACAATAAAAAAATAAAACCGTACATCCAAGCGACTTGTTCTTAATTTATAAAATGTTTTAGGATACCACTTAAGATGATCAACCTAAGAAAGGAAAAACGGATGATGGTTATATGATTGTTACTTTGAGATGGAATAGCAAAGATAAGAAATGTTTAAAGACGCTTGACATCGCCTCAACCAGCTGCACCTTTATAATCGAAGTGTGCCAACCTAGTCACATCATGAGTCAAAAATGAATAGGTCCGAAAATATATTTAAAGACTATCGATATGTCGGCAAGCGTTTAATCTAAGCTGGCTGACGGTTGAGGGAAACGCATAGCACTCGTAATATTGTGAGGATGTGTGACCTGGCGCCCTCAGCTAGACGTGTCCATTAGAATTAATGATGTCAGCATTAAATATTGAGGACTTACAGAAGCATTTGCTCCAGGAATTTTTTAACCTCCACATGTTGAGATTCAGAAAGAATGCATTAGTCTCAACGAAATTATTTCACAGTGCAAAACCAGAATAAACCTGTAGTCTGGCTTCAATATACTTTAGATTCTCTCTACCTAGGTCTGACAAGCAATTATTAGGATAAATGACTCTTTCACACTAAGAAATAATGAGAAGGGGTCGACAAAGTATTTTTATGAACATTTATTCTGCTCGGTTCAAATTGTCACATTCACTGTTACAAGTTGCTTTACCTAACTAAAAAACTCGTCACCATACCTGCCATTGAAGACTTATGGTAAAAAGGGCTTGGTATTCAGTGTCGTAAACGTATCTAGTGACAGTATATCAACCCAATGTCCTCTAGAGTTTTGGATTAGCTTAACGTCGTACAATGGGTGAGTTCACTTAAAAACATGTAATGTTCCGTCACAAAGTCTGTCATCATGGAATAATTAGCGTTACAGTCAAATTTTTTTCGTGCCTACATACTTAAACAGGGTTGTTTTAACCGAATTAATAGCTAACGAATCTAACAATCGAAGACTGTATGAGTTTGTTCTTCTAGTTCGTGTCTCAGAGAATACTAAAGAAATCTTGTGAAGTAAAATCACAACCCACACTGGTGAAAATCTTGATGTACACTTTGAAATTGACTAACCACAGATTGCGTTATCTAGAAGTCGATAGCAATATGGACTAAGACTGAATTTTATGCCGGTTGTTCTCGATTCACTATTATTTACGAACATAAATCGCTCACAACAAAATTGGATGGATTTGTCTGGTGAAAAGGAAGTTCAGGCTTTTACAGGATTTTGTAGAACTATTTTCTCAACTAACCTTATTCAATTATATCTCTGACTCAAGGAAAAAGTGGCGTTTATTCGTTAACTTCACGTCAGTCGTCCTCATTTGAATTAACTCTTATCATATTTAGATATTAAATTAAAATCTCATTAATACAGTCATCCATATCCTATCTTTCTTCTTAGTCCCGGCTACTAGGTTTCTCAAAATAGTCCTAATTAGCCACTTTGACTCGATCGTCGGAATATGGCTCAACCGCCATAAAGACACTAGGGTGAATAATAAAGAATGAAATAGTAAACAGGATTTTAAAATGAGTTATGCTCGTTATGGAAATTAAAATTTTACATAAAAACGTGTTTCATAATTCTTTAGAACATTTACTGCGTTTTTCACTGAACACCTTGATGGGAACTGAAATTCACAGGCACTAGTGAGTGTTTTGGTTAGGGCGCCACAGAACTTCTTATGTTAGAGATTCTAAGTCGTAAGGACCTATTTTGTTTTGTGTGATTGCTTTACACTTACAAACGGGGGGTCGCAATACTCTATCGTTGGGCAACCCCTCGTTTCATTGCTAACTCGAGACTTAACCTTGAATGACCTATTACTGTCTACTGCATGACCGCTATCGATCAAGTATGACAGAACCGAGCTGCATATTTTCTTGACAGTACCTTCTCCTAGGGTTATGTTCATCAACTCTTTGGCTCAGTTGTCTAGTAGTACGCCAAATAAAGCTTTCGCCACAGGACCAGCTGAATTCATGGGCTTGCATATAAGTGGCGAAACCAGGTAATATGTCTGTACTCCGTTGAACCAAAGACTATTTTAAAATGTGCCCATAGAATCGAACATAAAACACCCTTCTTACAATGACATTTTAACTGCTTTAACGAATTTATGTTTTCAGTTGGTATTGATGAGCAGATAACTCTCATCAATCCTTGATTCAAATGAGTTGTATGTATAACATAATAAAGAAGTCAGAGATTTCGACTGTTCGTAAGAAACCTTTATACATGAAAGTGTAATTCAACAGGGATGTGGCTAGTGACACTCTGAAATATAGGTTAACTAAAGTAATCACCAGGACATTCTACGCAGCCAATCTTGCGTTGACCTTCTCTTGTCGACCAGCGATGTCTACTCAAACGAAGGACAAGTTATCTGAGTTGGCCTCTTTTATGTGCATCTACAAATTCAGCTGCTCCTGTGGAGATAGCTATATAGGCGTACTACCAGGCAACTTAACCAACGAATGAGTGAACATCTACCAACGTGGTACATAAAAAGCCAGATAAAATATATTCGCAGTTCTATCTTGGCACATCTCATTGATAGTGGTCATGCTGTAGATGGATCGAAATCATTTTGATTTATCTATCGTATACCTCCATCATTTCCCGACGGAGTTCGTTCCCGCCTCCTACATATAGCTGAAGCCATTGGAATTCGTACATATAACCCCAATTTATGTGTACAGATGAAATACGTGACCCCCCTATGCCTCCCATGTTCAGTTATAACTTAACTAACGATATTTTTTAAAATTTTATTATTATCATTATTTATTTTATTCTATTTTGTTATCATTAACCTTAGTTCCACATGCATTATTTGTTTGAAATTTTCCGCCTCTTTGTATTCTTCACTATCTAATTATTTACACACATCTTATTACGTAATGATTTTAATGTTTTGTGATTACTATTCCAAGTCTATTTACCCATGTTTGTTTGACCTTCTATTTCCAACGTTTAACTATTGATAAGAGTTTTGTTATTGTATTTTATTGTTCTTACTATTATCAGTTCAAATGTCTTCCTACTATCAACTTGCATTTTACTTATTATGTGCAGAGATTTATTCTATTTCATTGTGATTATTGACCCATTTTGCCTTGATTGGTTTAATATTTTCGTATCAATATTCATGTATATTAGAGTAAAGCCTGATGACGATCTAACTGAAAACAATTGTTCGCTTATATGTAATGTTCAACTGAGTTGCACATTTTGTACAAGACTATTGGTCAGATTGAAGAATTATTTTTGGTCAGTCTAGATTAACTATCACCACGAGGTCGTCTCTTATGAATTCGAGTTGAGTGTGATCCAGTTCAATCAGCTTAACATCCTTATAGTTAGTTAAAGAGATTGAAGGCTGGTTTTTGAGAAAAGATTCATTTATTTAAAAATTTACATTGATAAAATTTATCACACTGACAATTTAATCTTGATTTAATTGCAAATTTTTATGATTGCTTCATTGATCGTTTCAGCTGTATAACCTTCTGCACAATAGTTGTAAAGAGTGGACAAGTGTCCTCCAACTTCTGGAGCCTGAAGTCATTTCAAATAGAAAAGATTCTTTAAATTTCAATCAGATATGTTGTGTTTAGTCTGAACATCCTAACAGGAAATACTGAGTATATTATCACTAAAGTTAGATGATGAAATTCACAGTTGTTATGAAGTACACCAATGCGGCTTGGCCAAAACATGTGTCAAAATGAACGCCAAAACAAGTAAAACTAAACAATCCAATAAGAGCAAATAACAAATATTAATCTCCACTCGTTGCTTAACGTATAGTTCATGATGGTCATGAATTCCTAGTGGTACAAAGGTGAATAAGTAGGTTGTTTTGAACTTTGGCCCTACGGATGTTCAATATTTTCCTGTATGTTTGGAAACAATTGGTACTTTGCTAAACCTATCCTGGAAGTATTCATTTATTATTCACAGTTGTCTCATTCACATCAGTTTTCTCTCTATTTTACGTCCATATTTCATATTGTTCTCTTGGTGACTATTTTTCATATATATAAATCCTTTAACAATTGTTTCATTGTTTTCTTGGCTGCACTGTTAATTCAAATAAGTCTTATTGAAAACCGCTGTTGATGTGGCTTATTATGTGGGTGAAATCTGCAATCTATTTATTCAGTTGGTTATTTGTCGTCTAACCAAGACCGATATTACGTTTTACAGACACAGAAGTCTTCAGTTATATGTTTTGCAAGCTCTGAAGCCTGTCACATTCAGTGCTTAACATAAATATGTTATCTATGTACGCTGAAGCAAACAGTTCTCAGATCAGGAGAACTGTATTTGAGGAATCTCAATTAAAATTCATTATCTTATCACTTCTGCTGTCAACCTAAATGAAATAGATAATAACAAACGTTTTGTCGTACATGTAACTCAAATTCCTTCCTCCTCTGTTAATTATTTCTGTCAGCTGTGTTTTCACTTTAGAATCTATATTCAGTAACTCATCGTTTCAAACAAACCGACCTGGAATCATTGAGTATTTATGATAGAGTAAAGCTGACATCATTTTAAATCAAAATTAATTTTCATGCTAGTTCTCTTCTTTATACACTTATTACTAACAGAATGACTGAAGTTTAGGTTTCTCTGTCAACATTGTTTAAACATTTAAGATCTCTCATCTGGTAAAGTTCGAGTGAAGCTAAAATAGCAGATCACAAGTGACGCACTCATGATTATGTCAACCGACTTATAAAAGTGTACGCTTCTCAATAAAATATAAAGGGTCTATCAACATATTGAAGTGAGTTTGTGAGATAATTAGAGGTAATGTGTTTGGAAGATTGTTCCACTTAAATGAAAGTATTTACCTGTTGCAGTGTGAAACATTTACTTTTGAATTGCTCATAGACGGATTCTGTACAATCCAACGTTTGATCGATAGTTGCCTTGGAAATAGGTGTTTTTTCATTATTCATTACTTTCACTATTAATTTCATGGTATCTTCAATGAGATCTCTTCTCTGTCAAAAATCAAATTAAAAGACTGTTAAAAGGTAGATAGATAAGTATACATAATATACGAGCAGAGTTTGTGAATGGTACGAATGAGTTGTCCTAAAAATCTTTTGACTTGAAACAAACGAATCAATATTAGCATCTTGTAAATGTCAAACAGGTAAAGGCAGAATGTTCACTGTTTTAGTTCACATCACTGGTGGATCTCTTTTACATAGCTGTTTTATAAAGAAAGAAGCAATGGAAAGTTGTTTCATTCTAATGTGGACTTCTCGACAATGTGGAAAGATGGCCCCATCGAGAGTCGAACTCGTAATCACAACATCCCTGTGTGAGCTCTTCACCATCAAACCACTGATTTTTCATATAATATTTTTCATATCTTATTAGGATCAGTCCATGATGTAAATAGTGAAGTTCAACAATCTCTACAGTCGACCTAGAATGGAAATATCCGTCAGCGATAAAAAAATACTGCAAAATAAATGAAGAGAAGTTAAACAACCCTAAATGGCTTTTTTATGCTGATCTTATTAGTGAGAAGAGAATGATAATGATTTACGACGAGATTTATTACTGTATAGATCTCTGGTTTCATTATTAAATAAGTGGATGTTAAAAAACGCATAGTTATGTTATGCTTTACACATTTATAAATAAAACAGTAACATATCTGTGAAATCATTCACATAAGAGTAATTAACATCAATCAAGTATTATTTGCGAATTCATAAAAGCACTTTGAATCTGGTGAACTGATCAGATGTTAGAATAGTACCATGGGATGTATCAAGCTATTTTTTGGACTTGCATTAGGTTGATTCACTTTGTATACCTCATACTACTGTAAAATTTGGTAATAATAATCAAAGTTTTGAAGAAACTGAAGATGTCACAGATATTTGTAATGTGACAACACTTTAACCAACAACACCTTCTATAAATGAATCGTACCCATACAGTGAGGTTAAAAGACAGAAGCGAGGAGGTTCGAAAATATATTTGATAGGCTATCAGTATATCGAGAAATGAATGATCTAATTGGCTAGCGGTTGCAGGAGAAGTTGAGCACGGCGTTCTCACTCGTGATCTGGTACGAATGCATGACTGAGTGCCTTCAGCTAGGTGAGTCCATTAAAACTAATGTGGTCAGCATCTAATGTCGAAGACTTACAGAGCTATTGATTTCGGGGATTTATTTACCGCTACAGGACATTCAATGAATCAAATTTTGAAATCACACGGTTACGTAATGAAATACTGAACAGTCTGTTAAACTTATCAAGATATAGTTTACGCTTTCTACAAAGAAAAAGGATTCGAATCAGACAGGAACACTGTACTTAACACAATGATATGAATTCGTTTATTGACAAATGAGAAACAATACTGTTAACAATGGGAAGACACAAGCACTTAAAAACTGAATTCATGCCCATTACCCCAGCTATTAGAAATCTAGACTAGGTACCTCGTGGATAATACGATGGGTATGTTTACCGAAGTATACCTGGTTCAGGTTTGTACATAAGAATCAACACTGAAATGCGGGTAAATGCACCCGACAAGTCTGAACTAAAACAACATGTTCATCTTGTATACCACTGTTAATCGTCCTTCCAAACTTAATTAACACTTGTGACTAAATGGCATTATTGAGACAGTGTGTAGAGCATGCAATTTTGTCATGAGAGACTGATTAATAAAATCAACTTCGGGAAGACACTATCACTTAAAAATAGTACCATTACCACAAACGTTTTCAGTGAGGTCGATTCGTTGGAACGACAATATATGTAAAAGAAGAATCAGCAGTGTCTATACAGTTGAATATTTATGTCCAGACTATTGTGTTAATTCTAGGAGAGAAACTCTATAAAATGTGTAATAGTGATAGGTTTTGTAGATATTGAAAACCAGTCTCTAAAATCATGTAACAATAAGTGGAAAAAAATTGGATACATTAACAGAGTTAAATAAGTAAAACTCAGGGGGAAAGAACGCCTCACCTTCAGTTTCAAACCAAGAATTTCCATTAGTAAGTTTTTGTCTTCTGCATTATTGGTCATCATTATTTGACGATGTAGAGTATGCAATGGAATATCACGTGAAGCGACAAAATCCTTCGGCTAAATGACAACGAAAACATAGAGATGTTTATCTAGTGTTTGTTTAAATTATGGAACTTCAATTCGATTGACAAAACATTGACATTTTGAGGCATCAATTTTGTTGATAGGAAATGACTGAATTAAATACAACCAAGTCTGCTGATCAATGTAGCCAAAAGTTTTCCTACTTGAAACATTGTTCCAAACTGATGAATGGTCTAGGTGACTTTATTTGACTGTGAGTTCGACAGTTGGATAAAGGAACATTATTCATTCACTCATTTTTCCGTGATCATATTATGTTGATTAGCGATGTTTCAATGGTGCTGCGTTTTTGCTAGATTGTATTATTATTATAGCTTCTGGACGGACTAATTTATTCATTCTTCTTGAATCGTATTGTGACCTTGTCAACTGTCCGTTTTTGGATGAGGGTATATGTGTTCACTTCATATCCTATTCATTACATATCTGCAACTTATTTTTGTGTGACTATAAATATTGATCAACACTTGATTAAATGGAGTTGGGTCACACGCCTCCATTGTGCACCATTTCGCTTCACTTTCTTTCGCTCCTCCGATCATTTGTCTGGATCAACGATTGTATGAAATATACGTATTTGAAATCTTTCCTCGTATTCGACTTCTTTTAATTCCGTTATTCGCGATTTACGTCGATTATATAAGAGAATTGGCGATATGTATATTTCAATAACAGACATTTACACAACCAACCTGAAGTCAGATTAAGGGTCACTATAAGATATTAATTCATCGTAACCGTCGGTCAGATATCGTCTTTCTGTATTCTGACACTTAACTGAAACATACGGTATTGTGGTTAACAGCCGAGTTTGTTTTCAATTAATATCTTGTTTGTGAAAATCATTTTCTAGTGTCGTCATCATCCACTCAAACGAGCATTCTATTGATCTTACCCTCAGTTCATCAGCAGCATATTTTTTTCCAAACAGTTGAGTGTCTCAAGTAGTATTTGAAAGAAATCGGATGGAAATTTTCAGTGGAAAACCCTATTAATTTCACTATTTGATAATCAAGACATTATTCAGCTGTAAATGATATCCATGTGTAACATGAAGTTTGTGAGCAAATTTGTTAGCCGTTCACCTACAATAAGTTGATCATAAACACTTAGCAGTTTTATGGAAGTAATTACACATTAATTAAGTATGATTTACCTTCATTGGAGGTTCATCATTCTCAATTGAATCCTTGTTTCGACTTCCTTGAAATTCACTAACGTGTAATTTACCCATATTCTATCAAAAAACAAGCAAACAAATCGCATTAAATTTGATTATCACAATTGTCTACCATTTCTTATTTAAAAATCAGATCAATTTAAAGACTTCATTTCGATTTGACAAACAATAAACCTACCAATATATGCAAAGGTAAATAGTGACTAACACCGGAATCCAAGACGTGCTTTTCGTCCTATTCGGGTCTCGTCAGTTGAATGTAGCTGCATATCAGAGTTGATGTTCACAGCTGACGAATCCCAAATAGGACGAAACGAGCGTCGAACTGGATTCCACAGCTAGCCAATATCCATCTTTGCATATAATGCTTGTGAATTAAGGCTATATCGATGCAATACACACAGTATGCACATATGCCAATAAGAGATTGATCAATTACAATCCTAGACATCAATGGGACTATTCAAACAAACAATACCAAGTGAGTATAAACCTATCAGTTTGATGAATATCAAAAGAGCATTCATTAGTACTCTTAATTATTGTTTAAGAAATCATCATTTATACTGTGTTTGGTATGAGTCCATTGTAGTTCCTCTCTTTGTCACCGACACTTGTAGTTTACTGTTAAAATAATATTGAGGATTTTTTATTTTTTTATTTATTTAAAAATAAGTATTAGTACGAGGAGGCGTCAAACAGATATACGCCACACACATCATTCGACTTGTGGGCTGAGATACTGCTCAGGTACCCAAATCAAAACAGGTGATCTTCTTATGGGGCTACGCCCCAAATGTCTGGTCCACAAGGCAGTGGAACAACATAGGGAGATGCAGTCCGATGTTACCTGGTGTCCAATAATTGGTTCATACTCCATTTTTCCTTCAGGATCCTGGAGCCCATGTATGTGCATGACAATATATTACAATTTTTATCAGTATTTGTTCGATTGTCAAGTTAGCAGTGTAACATTGCCTGTCATTATCAAATTGAGAGTGTCATATATGATGAATTTTGTAAGTTCTTACCGTATCACCATATCTCTGAACATGACTAAGATTCGTTTCACGTTTAACCTCTCTATACTGTTGATCGAGTGTTCGGCGTGTCAGTTGGTGCTTCAAAATGGAGAGAAATATTAAAAACATTAAGTATATTCAATGAAGAGATTAATGTATAAGTAAGTGAAAGAATTTAGTGAAAATGGATTATTGTAAAGATGTGTATTGGTAGTTTGTCTCCTTGTCTTCCATCATCTCCTGTATGGGTTCGAACTCAGCTCTAGCTACCGAGATTCACGGATTATTGTCTGTCCAAAATTAAGTAAACTTGTATGTTTAGGATATAAACCTGCTGTTTTTCGCTCTCATAACCGGCATTATTTTGATGTTGTGTCTACAATGTGTCTACAGCCGTTGTTCGACATCACACTACCATATACCATTCACCATAAAAATATATGGATCAACTAAACAGTTGAATAGGTGTTTTCTACGAACACCGTCATCACACAACAAAAAGTGATTGTTTAAACGATGGTATCCAATAGACACAGGACTAAGTGTGCATAAAAAATCAAAGCATGAGCTTTGAAAGTCGAAACTAGTCATTTCATCTAAAGAAATTATGACTTGTAGTGTGTTGTATTTTAACATGTGCAACAAACCAGTCACTACACATGCTTGTATCCTGTATCAAATTGAGCTTCTTCAAAAGTAATCAGTTCAAACCGACTATTAAATAGGATAACATTAGTGAATTTTCATTTATTAATTAGTGTATGCGGTATAGTTCTGAGAGCGGTTCAGTCGTGATTCGCATCACTTAGGACTATTCCGAAATGGTAAACATCCAAAGCTTTCTTATATTTGATTATATGTCTAGAGTGGTTTGATATTTTATTAGGTATGTTAAATATATATACGTATAAATTTGTATAGAACATACTGTTTGTGAGTCAACAATCCAATCGTATGAGTACAAATCAGCCAGGCAAGCAGCTATATTTGGATCATCACAAAATGTACCATAACTAGATTCAGTTGGACTAGCAGCTGTAGTCGCGTAAACTGTAAAGTAAAAGGGAAAAAGTCGAGAAGATATCAGATGAACAATTCTTCGAAATGTAAAGTTGCACATTCAAATTCTAAGTGATGAAAAAATGTGAGTTCGGTTGTGTGGTCGCGAACAATTCAGAGCCATGTGACACAATCTACAAAAATTGGTCACACTAATACCACAAATCCTAACCGAGAGATCCGCACCTATTCAGTTTATTTCAGTGGTCAGTATTTTCATGGACTGATGTCATGTCTTAATTTGACTGTCTCTAGCATTCTTCCAACCTACTCCTACAACAGGCAGCACCGCGCGACTAGGTAGTCGTTGGACGGACACACGTAATATGTATCCTAAACATCACAATTGAGAAATATTCATTGCGCCATAAATCAATTTGCTATACTTAACTAGTACCCTACATTTAACCCCAGAGTTGCTCCTAACAACACTAGAGACCCTATTGTTCATGATCAAGTTTATTCATCACTTCTGAAAATTCTTTCTATCCCAACAATCAACCCTACTTTCATGACTTTCTCAGTGAATCATAAACGACTAACCATATTTCACAGAACTGAGTGCTGAAAATACGTTCTTACAAAACGGTTTGCATAGCATCAAACGAAGTGAACAATTCATAATCGACAAAAGAAAATAAAGAACAAAATTGGCGAGAAGTTTCTACAAACGACATCTAAACACACTATAATACTATCCACATTAAAGTATCCAGTGGGAAATTCAACCATCTATGTTGATCCTCCCATCCTCAAAGCGATGAGATATTCTTGTGGTATTCATATCCCACTCACATGTCCAATGAAGTCTTTCAGTTCACACATATTGCATCCACAATAATATAACTGTTCGCGGTGCCTCTTCAAGTGTCTACTGAGTGTGGACTTGAATTTACAATGGAATTTACTTAAAAGAATGCCAATAACTGATGGGAAATAACAAAATTGTCATGATCCATATGTCTACATCTTCGTCGATGTGAAACGCTGAACTATAGACTCTTCGCAATATCAATGTAGGCAAAACCATTATGTTGTATTTGATCTACAAACATTGTCCATTCCATCTCTGTTTTCATTCAATCAATATACAAGCCATATGACACTTTGAACATATACATATATTTCCACTTGAATTGTAATGCAATGCACACCTAACATGTGTCACATTAAAGTATGTTGATGTTGGAGCTCCTAGTTTTTCCTAGGACATTTGTCGACTGATGAAGTCATAATCACTGTTAATTTCATTACCGTATTCATGAAATTTCCACTGACGATGATATTGTTAAGTTAAAGAATGCAAACAGTCAATTGTACAGTGATCATTTTGCACTTCTCATGTAGACATGTCTGATGAAGTGTAAACCGTTACCCGTTATTCTTGTGAACTCCTCAATTACACTATTCAAATTGTTACATTAAATGATACATCAAAGATAATAATCAACTGAGCTAAATAGTGACATTATATCTATATTGTGAAAACTGAACTGATTTGAAATTGCACTCACTATTTAAATTCGACGGTAATATTCCTTGAAACATGGAACCTGATTCACACGCTTCAATATAAATCACGAGTTTTGAATAACGTTTGTGTCTATGAAGGTATTTCAACGTTGCCATAAATCGTGTGGCATATAACTTGAAAAAAATATACAGACATAGGAAATAAGATGAATTGATTATTCTGTTATAAATATATGACACATAGCCGACTTACATTTTGAGTGACATGGCTCAGACTCGTTTAAAATGGAGTAAATACATTCACTCTTCATCTTCCTGTAGATCTTAAGTCAGGGTATATTTTCATGTCATTCTCGACTAACTGGATGAAACTGAAGTTTTATTAGGAGACAGCAATTATGGTTCCGTTGTATGAGAAGTCATTGATCATATCTTTATTTAAAACTTTATTAATCGAAACTTAAATACAGTTAAACATCTCCATTTGAGTAGTTATCCTTTTAAATCACATATGTATCTAAAACTGGAACTAATAAGGGTGAATCTAGTGTATCAATATGACGATGACTATGATTGTATATGTTTTATAGAATCATCTGATGTCATTTCAAGTAATCATAATAATCAGATTATCAAAGATTTTCCAATCAACTACGAACGGGAAAATAAATAAGTTACTTAGAGTCAATATAAATGCTCACACATGGCCACATGCATATAACCACTGTCAGAGAAGTCCTACTCACTAACTTCTCACACCATGAGTGTTGTCTACGGAATCGAGAGGACGAAAAGCGAATATCCGGGTTTGGTGGACACGAAAAGTTCACCTAGGGGAGTTAAAAAACCCTGATTCCAAACCAACGGTGTACATGGGCTCCGAGATCCTGATTGAACAAATAGCGTATGAACCAATCGTTGGCGATCGATTACCAAGGGACTGCATCTCCCGACGTTGCTCCACTGCCTTGTGGATCAGACGTTTAGGTCGAAAACTCAGAGTGTAGCCCCCTAAGAAAACCACCTGTTTCACTTTTGGCACCCACACAGTATCCCAGCCCTCACATAAATTGAATGATTCATGTGGCGCGTATCTACTTGGTGCTCTCTTGTACCTATGTTTATGTGTTTAAATAAATAAACAGACAGTAAATACATTTCTTCCCCAATATACGTGACATTAGGATGGTTATATTAAACAACAAACTATGCAACATTAAGTCAAAATAAACAGAAGTTCAGTTTGAATTAATTAAGTAGGACCTATATAAATCGCTTTTCAATCATTCTTACACATATATTATTATCCTTGATAACTCTAAAGTGAATATCATTCACATACTGTGAAAGTATTTGACTAAGTTGACAAAGATCTTAAGTTTCTAAAATCAACACATATCAAACCTAATTAACGGTGATGAAGATCCAAACAATAGTGATTGCATCCATTCGTTTCTCCACAATTCTAATGAATAGGAATGAAAGTTATATTCTGTAAAATTAGAAGAACGAATACATCAACTATTGACAGTGTATATGTGGTAGTATGAAAAAACCTATGGTTCGTTCTACCCGTTTATGACAGCATAATATTTGATGTGGAGAATTCCATTGTCTCGACAACCACTGGATCAGTTTGGTAATGGTCGACATTTTCCTACATATACAACTATCATTACCATCCAATGTTACTGGTAGATAACAGTTTCAATCTCGTTTGAACTGAATTCATAAGTCACTGATTATGTATTTGTTATACCGCTTGGTTTTACTTCGTCTCATGTTATAACGGTTGGGTTCCACGTTTACACGTATGGGACGTTAATTTACCTTAGACGAATATCTACACTAGATCCCTCCCAGTGTCTATTCTACAGGACGTCAACACAACTCAGATCAAGAATACGTAATTAGCCTGACTACAACGTGAATATATTTGCACGCCAAAAACCAACACAATCCATAACAATGAACAATCAATAACAAGTGTTTCACAATAAGGGAATATGTAACTTATCTGACACCTGTCAGACTATCTACATGTCTGACTAAGCAGACAACCAATCATGATCATTCTCGCCCACACATCAGTATTCGGAACATTTTAGAATCCAAGTTGATGGAGTTTTGTTATCTGAGCTGGATGGTTTGGTCGTGGAGATTTCATCGTTCTTCTCAACGACATCATCAACACAAACTCCAGGTAGATGTGAAGTGTTTTAATTTCTCTATATGTGGTTCACAACTTGTCCTATACAACTCGATGTTGATTGGTTCTTGTTGACCTTTAATTTGTCATTGTTTACTTCTTTGTTTCGGTTGTGTCTCCCATTGGTTTGGTTTTTGTTCCTATGTTTGTGCATAATTTTCCCGATTGATTAATAAATTGGATAGATTTGTTGACTGCTGCAATTATTAGCTGTTTTCCATTCCTTTGTTCATTTTGTTCACAATCTGCATTGACAAATGAAGCTTTCAGATTATGTGCATCTGATCGCTAACCAAGATGGAACAAACCGTGATTCTGACTGTCGACTCACTATCATCTGACGAAAATAATCTACCGTATAAGTGACCGAGCATTTACTCTCTTCTACATACATTAGGACACTATCAACGAATTAGGTAAAACACTAGTTCAAAAGGTTGGTGGATCTAGTGACTTGAAATATGTTTTGTTGCAGTTGGAATCAGTATCATCTGTGAGTAAATCGTTCGATACTACTTCATAAGTTAAGGCTTACCAGTCAATTAAATAAAGAGACATGATCTAACATATATCACAAAGTTGTCCGAAAACCACGTGATGAAAGATATAATTACCGAATTATAGATGCTAACGAACACTGATATACACTTACTTCATCATCAGGAAAAGCAATTAGACCCGGTGCACCATGATCAGTAAAGTATATGAATACATCATCATTTTTCCCACTGTGAATAGAATATAAACAAATAATCTGATCAGTTAATCGATAAAGATCACTTTGATTGACAACAGTTGGGATGTCGTTTCAAATTACTGACTACTGGATAAATGACTTACATCAACATGATGATTTTAGACATGAAAACAAACTTGATAAATTTATTTCGAATGAAAAATGAATGGTTTATACTACTAAATCACATTACACACGTCACTCTACTGACATTCTTCGCAAATCGATAATGATTTCAGTGTACAAATTCAGTTAGACTATGCATAACATACATGATAAGACAACAAATAATTTTCAAATAAGTGGTCGTAGAAGCGTTACAGAGAAAGATGAAGTATCTCGGGACACTACTCATACTAGTGTATCTGTACCTTATACATTTCAAAGTTGCATAACATCATGTAAACACAGAAATTGTGTTCGACTACTAATACTCATTACCTTGGCCTGTAGCTCTTCTAGAGTTAATGCTGGTCCCAAGCCCGGGTAAAGGAGGACGGTTTGGCATGGGGTTGGCAACCACATCCCGTAGAAAACTAAATCGCTAAAAAACACTAACCAGAAAAAATAATTCAAACCATTTAAACTCTGACGAGGGAGTTAGAAGGTCTTCATTTAGAAGAACTATGACGCCTCATGGTGAAAGCCGAGTTCCTTCGCAAGTCGCGAGGCTGATGCTCCTTCTAACAACCAGAGCAACAATTTGATAGGTACATGGAACGTTCGGACAATGTGGGAGACCGGTAAGACCAGTCAAATAGCAACGGAAATGAGGAGATACAATTTGGCAGCACTGAGAATCAGCGAAACCCATTGAACCCAAGCTGAACAACAAAGGCTAAATACGGGAAAGTTGTTGCTGTACTCCAGTCACGAAGAGGAATATGCTCCACACAGTCAGGGAGTAACTCTCATGCTGTCCAAAGTAGCACGAAATGAACTTGTAGGATGGGGATCTCATGGATTCAGAATCAACAAAGCCTCATTCAAAACAAAGAAGAAGGGGATCACAACGAATATAATCCAGTGTTATGCACCCACCAATGATAACAACGATGACAATAACGATCAATTGTATGAGAGGCTGCAATCAATCATAGACAAGTGCCCAAGAAAACACTTCACCATTCTGATGGGATATCTAAACGCCAAAGTCGGAATAGACAACACTGGATATGAAGATATTATGGGACGACATGGACTGGGAGAAAGAAACGAAAATGGAGAAAGATTTGCAAATTTGTGTGCATTCAACAAATTAGTCATAGGAGGCACAATATTTCCACACAAGCGTATACACAAGGCTAGATGGATCTCACCGGACCACACTACAGAGAACCAGATAGATCATATTTGCATCAACAAAAAATTCTGAAGGAAAATAGATGTGAGAACCATAAGGGAAAAGAGCTGACATAGCTTCAGATCACCTAGTTGAGGCCAATTTAAAACTGAAGCTAAAGAACAACTGTACAACTGGACGAACGGCACTACAAAGCTTCAATACTGCATTCCTGAGAGATACTGACAAACTCAATGAATGCAAGATAGCTCTCAACAACAGGTTCCAAGCCTTACAAGATCTACTGAAGAAGGAGACATTATTGAGTTCCTGATAAGATTGTCAACATTATTGGGAAATCATACGACGGACTACAGTGCAAAGTCGTGCATGGATGACAACTGACAGATGCATTCCAAGTAAGGACCGGAGTAAGACAAGGTTGTCTACTCTCTCCCTTCCTCTTTCTCCTGGTGGTCGACTGGATTATGAAGAACTCAACATCTGAGGGCAAACACGGAATACAATGGACAGCTCAGAATCAATTGGACGATTTAGACTTCACAGATCACCTAGCCCTCCTATCTCATACACACGAACAAATTCAGATAAACACAGACAGTGTAGCAGCAGTCTCTGCATCAGTAGGCCTCAACATACACAAAGGAAAAACCAAGGTCCTCAAATACAACACGGAGAACAGCAATCCAACCACTCTTGATGGCAAAAATCTGGAAGACGTAGAATCCTTCACATACCTGGGGAGCATCATCGATGAATAAGGAGGATATGGATGCAGAAGTAAAGGCGAGGATTGCCAAAGTAAGGGCCGCATTCCTACAGTTGAAGAACATATGGAACTCAAAACAACTTTCAACCAATATCAAAGTCACAATCTTCAATACGAATGTCAAGGCAGTTCTACTGTACCGAGCTGAAACTTGGAGAACCACTACAACCATCATCAAGAAGGTACAAGTATTTATAAATAATTGTCTAGACAAGATACTCAAAATTCACTGGCCGGATAACATCAGCAACACCATTCTGTGAATGAGAACAAACCAGCTTCCAGCTGAAGAAGAAATTAGGAAAAGACGATGGAAATGGATAGGACATACACTACGCAAATCGTGAAACTGCATCACGAGGCAAGCCCTAACTTGTAATCCTGAAGGGAAGCGAAAAAGAGGAAGGCCAAAGAACACATCATGTCGGATAATAGAAACAGATATGAAAAGGATGAATAACAACTGGAAAGAGGTGGGAAGGATTGCCCAGGACAGGTTTGGATGGAGAATGCTGGTGGTTTGCCTATGCTCCTTCACGAGGAGTAACAAGCGTAAGAATGTAAGTACTAATACTTATCAACTGGGAGCCAACACTCAGAATCCTCTACAGTCAACAATCATTTTCAAAGCCTGTTTCAACTTGAATGGAATCAATCCCCTTTAACACGATTTACTTTAATTTGGTTGATAAGTATTTTTAATACTCGTGCTAAATCTATTAAGTTCAGACCATTTCACTCGTAAATCTATAGAGTTTTGAGACAACTAAATCAACTTCGATTTACTTAATCGAATGGTCACAATACAGTTTGATAGATTGATTCATTGATTGAGAGATAGAAGCTCATTAGTACGTGATATGGCAGATGAGTGTCACCTCTGAACGGATTAAATACCGATTAAACATATTGATTAATCTAACAAACAATTACAATATTGTAGTGTATGCCTGTCGACAGGTTTAATTAGTATGTTACACTAGCCGGAAATGGAAAACCTGTCACCACAAATCCAGAAAGATTGGATTAAAGAGAATAGAAGAAAAATCGGAAGGAATTATTGACTGAAAGAATCATACAGAATATGAAGGCAAGATTCAACCTGAATGGAATCGATCCAATCTAACCGTTTCAATTCTACACAACATGGAATCAAATTCACACGATTTACTACACAGATGTTCATACAGACAGTGCTATACTGTGGAAATAAGACGATGAGTGCCAATCCATAGGAAATATATATTCTATGTTTCCTCTATGGAAGTTTGATAGTGTTGATTCTCAAGTAAGCACACTTCGGAAATCAACACTGATCTGTAAATAACTGTAGCAAAATTGCTATCCAATAACCAAACAGCACAGGTGAGAAATTTCTCACAACACACAAATAACAAAACATATTAGACTGAAGAATTTCATTGTTGGATGTACTGCATGTGAATTCATGAATGATTATGTGAGAGATCTCACCGTTTCTACAGTCCAGATTGACATAATAACCAACTCTGAAATGACTCGTAAATTCGGACTACTCCCAAATTATGTCTGACTCTAATTACTATTATCACGAATTGCAGTTTATACAACAAGAATTCAGATTCACACATCTGATTATAATCAATACCGACGAATCCCAATGGATATTGTGATACACATTACAAGGTTTATCACTGAGTAAGAGCTTCTTGTCAACTTTCCTCAACCATCTCACATCGAAGTATACTGGGATTGATATTGAGTTTATTCGTCTGGTGGCCACAATTCAACATCATCGATAGAATGCTTTGATCACTGAGAAGAAACAAACACGATATTGATCATTGTTGAAGAGAAACCAGTGTCAGTATCTTGTATGGATGATGTTCAATGGTTACTCTGTCTGGTGGGTGATAACCACTCTGACTGCGAGAATGTGCGATGTTTGTTCTCGTTCAATGGAGAATACCAGTTCCCTCAGTATTTGAGAATCATGTTGCTGATGAGTGAAAAGTAGTATGCAATCGAGTTCAAACAGATCTCCTCACTGATCTCCTTTCACTATTCAATGTGTATTAAGCTTATTGATATCATCATTTATGTTAAGTAATACAAAAGTGTGACAATATAAACAACTAACCTTCTCAAAACTTTTCCACCAGCGCTTTTATCTCCTTTCAGAACTTTTAGAAAAGTTTCCGAGTTGACGTTCTAGGAATAAACGAGAATTATTTTGTATTTGTTGAATCAGAATGTTGAATGATGAAATTTAAGAGGATCATCTATCAGATGTTGATTAATTGCAAATGCATTTTATTTCGTGTTGTATATAAGTACGGCCAACACTGTTTATTTATTCAAAATTTTCGGATAGAAGAACAAACCTATTTGTATAATCCTAACTGGAGTAAATTTAGTTGACTAAAAAATAGAACAATACGTAAACAAACAATATGCTTTTGAGCTAGATCATCATTAGTCTTCGTAGTACGCCATACCTATGGCTATCTTCTCAGAAGCAGCTGAATTTGTAGATGCATAATGAAGTGGCAAACCCTGGGAACTTTTCCATTGTTTCTGTAGATATCACTGGTGTACTGGTAAATACCAACGCAAAATTAGCTTCATAGTATGTCAAATTAAGCGTCCCTCCTAATCTATTGGGTAGAATATCACTAGCCACTTCCTAATCGAATCTTAACTTTAAGAATAGACTCTCCTTATCAGTGGTCAGTGACTTCAACTTATTTTTTCCCCACATACATGTACATTTTTAAAAGATTTCCAGGACAGCTAATCTCCATCAGTATGCTATTAATAAACTCCAAATCCTTCTTTATGATATCATCTGAGCAGATCTTTTTGCTCTGCTTGTGAGACATCTAACCTGCTTTCTTCTGTGGCAAATGGGTATACAAGTGTAGAAGCGTGTGTAGTGGAGAGAAGAAGAGCTCTTTCTATACACGCTTATACTTAACGATCCGTCAACCCGTCTTCTTAATCAGATGTCCGGAAAATTAAGTTTATCGTCACACATCCTCACCAGTGTGATTGTCAGTTGTATACTATTGAGACGGTGTGGGAGTTCTCCTTTATTGGTATTCCGTACTTCATTAATGAATGTGTCGTCCATGTGGTTGGATTATAGATCTAGTTTGTTGCTAGTATCTACAAAAATGTTTGCTCTGGTTGTTAGAAGGGGAATCGGCCTCGCGACTTGCGAAGGAACTCGGCTTTCACCATGAGGCGTCATAGTTCTTCTAAATGAAGACCTTCTAACTCCCTCGTCAGAGTTTAAATGGTTTGAATTATTTTTTCTGGTTAGTGTTTTTTAGCGATTTAGTTTTCTACGGGATGTGGTTGCCAACCCCATGCCAAACCGTCCTCCTTTACCCGGGCTTGGGACCGGCAATAACTCTAGAAGAGCTACAGGCGGAGTAAGTAACTCCACAGCTCATAGTTTTCAGCATCTAACAAACTATCCTTTACAACCAACCAAGTAATTCAATATGCAGAAACTTCTCACCACAACATCTATAACTCCTTGTCACCAGTGAAACAAACCCATTCTAAATAATCTCTCTATATGAATTACTTCACCTCTAAATTTTCCAGACTTTGTAATAATCTACCACAATCTATCCGTAACGATAAAATCACTCCCATTCTTTATTCGCTGCATTGATGCATACTGCTCCTATGAAAATGCATTGAATGTTCTAGCACCTGTAAGTGTATCATATTCCACAAGTGAAATTATAGGAACTTTAAATGTTTAGCCATTCTTATTGATGAATTCCATATGTAAAACCACCTACATGCTGTCAAGTTACGTTAACACTATCCCTAGCATAGTTAACTAATTTGAATAACATCTAACATGGACAGTATATCACTGGGTCACATGACGCATGCATTATGGTAAAGCTGATTGACATAAATTCGCTTCGTATTGTTTTACTTGTATGTTCCCATTGTTATTTAGGACTGTAATTGGTCAGTCTCATGTTGGCATATGTCCATACTGTGCGGATTGCCTCAGAGTTGATGTTCACTCCGAGACTCGAACCCAGTACCGTTCGCTTCAAACAACATCGCGTTATCCACTTAGCTACTGAGTCCTAATAGCCAATGTTGAGGTAATACGCACACTATGCACATATGTCAATAAGAGACTGATCAGTTGCAGTCCTAAATATCAATGGAAGATTCCAGTAAACAATACCAAGTGAATTTAAACTTCACCGTTTGCATATGCAAGTAGCTATCAAGACTCAGTACGTAAGTGGAGAGCGCGATGGCATTTGAAGAGAACGGCACCGGGTTCTAGTCCCGGAGTGAACATCAAGATACAGGTGCATCCAGCTGACGAGTCCTAAATGGGACGAAACTTGCGTCAAACTGAATTCCACTGCTAATCACTATCCGTCTTTGCATATATGATGTTACTATTTATATCGAATTGACCATACCTGTAAACTGGCGTGAATTCTCTAAGTATTATTTTCAGAATATATATATATATGTATATTATTATTGTTTAATGCGTTTATTTTAGATGAGATCAGATTCATCGGAATATGGGATTTGAACAATGTATACAAAAATTAAAATCAACTATGAAGTAAACATAGTTACTTACTTTACCCTTATAATCGATCACAACTCCTTTATACCAATCTCTATGGCTATAATCATTGAAAATTTTTCCACGAAATGGATTCCTAAATGATTGATACAAAACGATATGAAAATCATTCAAACATAAGTCACAAATTAAAATTATGATGTAAATGCATATTGATGGAAATTACCAGACATTGGTACAGTTGCTAGGTGGATGGTTTAGTTGTGATATTTATTAGACATCTATTTCATAGAAAGGGGTTGATTGCCATTGAAAGAAAAGATCAACACTTGAGATATGTTATTATTTTCAACAACTGAATCATAGATTTCAACAATAGATTAAGAGGTAGTACTTCGGTAGTGAACCAGAACGCAAGTGGGGACAATAGAATGTATTTAATCACAGAATTACAGAATCACTTAGTAAAATCAGAAAACCATTCAGAAAGTACTTCATTTGCAAAATATCAATCAATTATCTGAAACTTGATTATTCTTTCGTTTTCAAACCAATCATTCTTTGTCAGAATGGGTTTTGTGAAGATTTTAGAAATTTCACAGATTGAAATCATGAGTCTCGCGGAGGGCGGGATCGTGGATGCGCACTGCTGAGGAGTCCCATATTAGGACGAAACTGCCGTCCAGTGCTTCCAGGTTCTCCATGGTGATCTAACCTCAATTGACTGATAATTTCAATCTGTGCAATCATTCTTTGTTGTCTTTCACTTTTCTTCGATCTTCATAACCTTTTGCCTTGAAGCATTTCACTTTCTATTAGTGATACATACTACTTATATCTGTTGACATCCATAACACACACCATACTTTAGCGCAAAATATCAATTGTTTGTATGGATATCGATATTGATTTTACGTTCATTAAAAAGTTTATTAGACTCAAAGAAAGAACATTTCCTAATTCTCATGAATAAACTAACTTTCATTAAATTAATAAATTTATATGAATGAAATGGGCGAGACTATAAGTTATGAATGAACCAATCAGATTTAAGATAACAGGTGTCAGATTTTGGCGCGAAATTCACTCATCTATTTGGCTAAACAAAGTTTTGGCATTATAAAGCTGATATCAGTTCATGATGTGAAAGCCCTAAATTTAATATCTAACCGCAACTATCAACTGTAATTCATCATTCGAATTCTTTACAGTAATTTATAACCTTCATTTAGTCCTAGATATTAGGTGAACACTTTTAAGATTATTTCCTGTGGTGGTGAAGATTTGTAGCTCAGGTGGATGATTTTAATGGAGTTTTGGTCTCTGAGCTGGATGGTGACATCAACTTTACAATGGAACACGAGTCAAACAACACACTACCGTTCTTGCATATATTAATCACTAGAACCGACACAAGAAAACTGGAAAGTCAAGTGTGTAAGAGATCGACCCATATAGATCAAATTCTTAACCGTAATGAGACTGCTGAAATTCTTCGGGATAGGTGTGGCACACAAACCGATAAAATCACTAGTCCTATGCAAACTAAAGGATAAAATAACAAAGGAAGACAAATCAAACATCATCTACAAAATAAATTGTGCCGACTGACAAAAATATCACATCGGACAAAGTGGACGCCCCCTTCATCTTCGCCTACATGAATATCAATTAGCAGTCAAACGCCATGATACTTCTTCATTTATATCAATACACGTGGACAACTGCGGACACTCATTCGACTGGAAAAATGTGGAAATCTTCGACAGAGGAAATTCCAAAAACACCAGAGAATTTTTAGAAGCCTGGCACTCAGCTCAGTCAGCAATAAACAGGCACATTGAAATCGATCCGATTTAAAACATAGGAACAAAAATCAAATCAATGGGAGACACAACCAAAACAAAGAAGTAAACAATGACAAATTAAAGGTCAGCAAGAACCATTCAACATCGAGGTGTACAGGACAAGTTGTGAACCACATAGAGAGAAATTCGAACACTTTACATCTACCTGGAGTTTGTGTTGATGATGTCGTTGAGAAGAACGATGGAAGCTCCACGACCAAACCATCCAGCTCAGAAAGCAAAACTCCATCAAAAATTATTTCCTGAGTTTATTCGATTTTAATTTAACACATTGGTATAATATGATAAACTTATAGTTGAGTAATAATTGAACAGTGTCCAGTGTTATGTTTGTCTACAGTTTGAAATTTTGATTTCATTTTATCAAACATGTTATAGTGTAAGTACTAGTTGAAATGAATTAACATTGTGAAGATTGTTTTGAGGCCTTTAGATAGGTTTTCAGTCGACTAATACCATGTTACTTACAAGGTGTAAGTCAGTTGTTTAGATTTCGCACAGAAATTTAACTGGAGATGCATTTAGATACTTTCGAGAATATAAACATTCAGAGTGTCACTTCAGTTGAAATCTATTCATTTTCATAAGGACAGATTATCTCAGTGATAAGTTTCACAACAGAATAGCGTCAGATAGAGGATGATTGAAAGTCACAAAGTGATGGACAGATGTTTTAACCCATTTACCAACTCTTAAATAATTTTCATGCACTCACGATCTCACGATCTCACAAGGAATTAAAGATGGAAACTTCCGACTTTTTGACCAGGATATTTTCATTCCGTTTAATGTGTGTGTGTGATTTCGTCGTTCAAGGACTCTTTCAAGAATTCAATTTACAATTTGGTATATGAAACAGATTTTAAGATCTGTAACCTAATGATGGAAATACAAGTGATTAAAAATGGATCGCCAGATGTGACGTGTTTAGATTACTCTTCATATTTCACATATATACATTTTTAAAAATAAATTTCACATTACATATCTTGCAATAGGAACAAGTTGGTATTATCAATAGAGTATGTATAAGGTGCTTTTTTCAACAAAGTACCACCTAACTGTGCCAAATCCAAAGTATAAAATATGTTCATCACGAAGCGCAGACCCTTTAACGTGTTCATCATGAGACCTGAATATTTTCCTGTAATAATGTTTGGGTATCAGGCAGTCAGTAACAACGTAGAACTTCGTACGTACGTACATCAGTTCGACTTGCCACACCACATTAGCACAGAGATGCACTTGTCGATTCAAATCCCGTAGTGGTAGAGGTAGTAAAAGTATAATCAGTAATCGGAAACATTAGGGTTTGGAGATGTTATTTAAAGAGTATAATCCAAGGAAATAAATTTGGAAAGAGAAAAAGGAAAGGGACGTGAAGAATTCAGAAGATTAGAATTTTGGAGAACACAAAGAGTGGATGCACCTGCGCCATTGCAAACGATTTTGAGCCATGTCATTCAAGGTCTCTAACCACCGGTTGCTATCATCTCGCGGTCCCCAACCAGGTAGTCCACACTTACCAACATGGCTCAGTCCACTTGTCAGTGACTTGATATGGGTATCAAAGGGTAAGTGAATTCAATGCATTATGTTTCAGTATATATTTATCCAATCATTGGGAATAAAACTTATCTGCAATGTAAACAGTTGTAAGTAGGCACTAATTACTGACAATGGAAGTGGATTCTAGCCAGTTAGTTCACTTCATTATAAGTTATACTATACAAATTATTCAATAATTAGTCAATAACTATACTAATTTATACATTACAAAAATATTTATTTATTACTTACATCTTATTATGAGCGATGTCATCATACATCATTGTGATAATATGTTCAGGTTTTATACCCTTCGAACGTAATACATGGTAAGCATGACAGACATCAGCCTAAATTTGTAAAAAGAATATCATTTAATAAGCAACTTAAGTATATATGTATATACCTTATTATTGAGTATCGACTACCGAAGAAACTTTGGTTTGGTTGTTTACTTACTTATGTATATCCCACTCACCACCTGAAGAGTTTTCCTAATTCCGCTTCAGATGGAAGCTGATCTGTTCTGTATCACAGAAAGCTGTTACTGATGGTATCCGGCAAACAGACATTGAGTATCTTATGTAGACAACTGTTCATAAATACTTGTACCTTCTTGATGGTGGTTGTTGTAGTTCTCCAAGTTTCAGCTTCATATAACACAATTGTCTTGACGTTCATATTGAAGATTCTGACGTTGATATTAGTTGACAGTTGTTTTGAGTTCCATATGTTCTTCAACTGTAGGAATGCCGCTCTTAATTTGGCAATCGTTGTTATTACGTCTGCATCAGATCCTCCTTGTTCACCGATGATGCTGTTCAGGTATGTGAAATTTTCCACCTCTTCCATAGTATCTCCACCAAATGTGATTATCTTCTTCGTGTTGTGTTTGGTTTTTCTCTTGTGTGAACTGAGGCCTCCTGATGTAAAGGCTACTGCTAAACTGCTTGTCTTGATCTGCATTCGTTGAAGTTTATGAGACAAAAAAACTAGATCATCTACGAAGTCCAAATTGTCTGGTTGCATGCAAGCTGTCCATCCTCTCAGGTACACTGTGGTATGAAAAAAGATTTCACAATGTCATCGTATCCACATTGTCAAACGCATACTCATAGTCTATGGAGTTAAGGTATAGTGGTAAATTCGATCCAACTGATTGCTCACTAATGATCAGTAGTATCTCGATTTGGAATGTATACGACCGTACTCACGAAATGCAGCCTGTTGATCTCAACGTTGGTCATCTGCTGCATCTTTCATTCAGTTTTGCAACACATTGGAAACGTTATCTGGTGCTGATATTAGTGTTATGCTCTATAGTTTTCACACTTAAAATCTCTTTTCTGTAACATCCCCACTCCTAGTCTGTAAGTACTTGTTCTTCCTCCTAAATTTTCTGAAGTCCACATCTTCGCAGCCACTTCTATATCTGACTTCAATCCTTCAAATGGTACACTGTCCGGTTACCCGGCCTTGCCATTTCTGATTTGCTTAATGAACTTGCTGGTTTCTTCTATTACTAATTTTGTATCATTTGTAGGTAGGTCTGTATACGCTGCTCCGATGCCCAACAAGTTCACTGAGGCTGATTTATTCAAAGGCTCTTCAAAGCGTTCTACTTATCTATTTAGCTGCTCTTGAATCTCAGTGAATGGATTACCTTCTTTGTAATCAATCGATTCTGTTTGATGAAACAGTCAAGTGAACTGGAAACGTAACACACTTCAATTGATCTTATCTAGGTAGTTGAAAAATATTTAAACTAAAGTAGACACAATTGATTGATCACTGGGTGGTGATCAATGTCATGCTTGTCTAGTCCTTATTAGTGCAGATCGAATGCTATCGATCATGTTGCAATGTGGCCACCAGTCTAGGTGACTCGACACTGCGGGCACTATGTATTGATACTTAGATGGTAGTTGGAGGTAGTCAACAGGAAACCCTGGACCCGGGTTTCGTGCTACTTGGCACTCGTCAGCAAGGTGTACCTGTAATCTTGAGGGAACTGGTGCTCCCTGGCGGATTCGATCTCGTGTCACCCAGCTTCACAGTCAGAGACGCTACCACTGAGCTATCCGAGCCGTGACTAACCTCCTGTAGGACTGAGATGTAATCACAATTGATTGATCACTGGGTGGTGATCAATCTCATGCTTGTCTAGTCCTTATTAGTGCAGATCGAATGTTATCGATCAAGTTGCAATGTGGCCACCAGTCTAGGTGACTCGACATTGCGGGCACTATGCCAGGGAGCACCAGTTCCCTCAAGATTACAGGTACACCTTGCTGACGAGTGCCGAGTAGCACGAAACCCGGGTCCAGGGTTTCCTGTTGACTACCTCCAACTACCATCTAAAAACTAAAGTAGAAGAAATTTGATTGTAGTATATTTTTACCATCTTTTTTGTACTATGAATTACATAATATCTTATTGAGTTATAGGCTGCCCATTTCATTTAAATAAAAACCTAGTTTAAAATCTTTCAATAATTCATGAGTACAAACTTTCCAGGCACTTCCATCAGCACTTTCAAGTGACGGTTGCGCGAGATTGCAAATATCACAAAGTCTGTTGTCATACGCGTCTTCGTCATTGTCGTCGTCTCGTTCAGTAAATTCCTCTGAGTTAATCGAAACAATTTCTTCTTCGTCATTGCTTAATGTTGCATCCATATCGAGGTTATTTTGATAGTTTGTAACTTACAAAAGATGAAGGAAGGACATTGAGTGTTCACGAAAGTCCTTTATGAAAAATTATAATAACACTAATCAAATTACCTCCTTCGTCTACTAGGCTGTGAAGAACCGCTAGGTGTTTTACGGCCATTTCTCTAACATACGAATTTAATATACGGCTTTCGATCTCTATGGAAATGAGAATCTCTCACCGCATAATGGTAGTACGTAGCTCTTTCATAATTTCTAATGGCGCTCTTCAACGCTTCAAAAGATTGGAACGCTACGAGATACAATGTACTCAACAATAGGTTATCGGTACTGTGACAACGTGGGAAACGACAGAGCTTTGCACGTTACTACTGTCCGTAATGTGCTCTGTCGACAAATACTGACATTTTATAAAAATTTTAAGACATAAATAACCAATTATAACGAATTTAAAACTAGCCATTTAATTGGACAAAACGGGATGAGAAAAATATTGGAAAATGGGATGAAAAACTTTTTTAAAGGGTTAAAAAAAATTACAAAAATAGCCAGTCGCTTAATGATATTCGATGGTCTAGCTCGATTGACTCAAGATTTCAACCAGTGAAATTTCTAAAAATATTCACAAAACCCATTCTGATAATAATTATGTGCCACTAGTGACTGACTTCAAGAGATACTCCTGGAGTTCTAGTGAGAAGCCGTTACCAGTGGAGTTCAACCAGGTCTGTTGTGAGATATCAACTCACTGAAGACAATGGTGGACGGTGGCGCAACTTAATGGATCGGTTGAAGTTAAACATTAACACCGTCGGATCGTGGCCAGCTCAGTGGTCTAGTTGGTTAAGCGCCTGGCGCGAGACTGATAACTTCTGAGTTCGAATCACGCGGGTTGCAGGATGGTGGATGTGCATTGTTGAGGAGTTCCATACTAGGACGAAACGGCCGTCCAATGTTCCCAGGTTTTTCATGGTAGTCTAGCTTCCATTGACTCATGATTTCAATCAGTGGGAGTTCTATAATCTCCACAAAACCCCTTCTGAAAATATTATTTATTAAGTAAGTGAATCAAAATAGCTTCAATCAAAATGAATCATAATCGATAATTGATCATAGGATTGTTACTATAACTATCATAAAGTTTACTTATATTCAATGATTGTTTACTTATTATAATCAATAATGCCTTACTTACTTGATGTCTATAATTGTAAAAACCATTAGATCCAGCAACTAAAATAGCCCATTTATTCTTATCACTAAGATTTTCATCAAAATATTCAATTGTTGAATTGAATCTTGATTGAACGAATACAATAAATAAACAATGAATAAATAATAGAGAAAATCGTAACATTCTATTGAATGATGCTTGATGAATCTATTCAGAGATGATTTATATATTTATAGTAAAATGACATGGATACATTTCAACCCACGTAATGAACTTTAGATCCATATAAGTAGTCATATCATCCATACATATCATTTTTTGTATTTTTGGTTTGTTTGTTTTTTCTGTTTTTTTTTCGTTTTTCTTTGTGTTTTTTTCTCTCTTGAAACGTTTATCAGAATAATAAAAAGTTCAATGTACAATAGTTTTTTTTTCTTTTCTTTGTTTACATGGTAACAATAAAACCATAAAATGAACTTGAATATTATTAAGATTAAAGTATAAAACTGTTTTTTTTTTGTTTTCTTTTTAGCATTCAGACTTTATTATTATTGAAGATATTTTTATATAATTCATTTGAATAAAGAAATAATTATGATTTCATTCATGTTCTGGTACAGAAGAGAGTGGAGAGAGTGAACTCTTCTTCTTGAAATGATCTTATATGATTACGTGAATACAACCACTGACAGAGAAGTTCCAGTCAATGCCTTCTCGTTGCGGATGTATTGTTTATGAAATTGAGAGGATTGAAAGCGGATGTCCAACACTTATAAGGGTTGGTGGACATGGAGAGTTCAACTAGGGGAGTTGAAAAACCTTGATTCTAAACTATTGGTGTACATGGACTTTAGCATCCCGAAGGAACAAATGGCATACTTACTTACTACTTACTTACTTACTCACTTACGCCTGTTACTCTCAATGTAGCATAGGCCACCGACTAGCATTCTCCATCCCACTTTGTCCTGGTAATTTCTTCCTAGATCTATTCAATTTTTGTTCATTCTTCTCATATCTATCTTAATTTCTCGGCAGAAAATATTCTTTGCTCTTCCTCTCCTCCCTTCGACTTCAGGATTCCAAGTGAGGGCTTGTCTTGTGACACAGTTAGGTGATTTCCTCAATTTGTGTCCTATCCACTTCCAGCGATTCTTCTCGAATTCTTCCTCCACTGTAATCTGGTTTATTCTCTCCCAGAGTAGGTTGTTTGTGATAGTGTTTGGTCAACGGATCCGAAGTACTTTGCGTAGACAACTGTTAATAAACACCTGTATCTTCTGGATGATGGCTTTCGTAGTTCTGCAGGTTTCCGCCCCATACAGTAGAACTGTCTTGACATTTGTATTGAAAATCCTGACTTTGGTGTTGGTTGACAGTTGCTTTGAGTTCCAGATGTGCTTTAGTTGTAAATATGCTGCTCTTGCTTTGCCGATCCGCGCCTTCACATCTGCATCAGATCCACCCTGTTCATCAATGATGCTGCCCAAATATGTAAAGGTTTTTACATCTTCCAAATCTTCTCCGTCAATTGTGATTGGATTGGTGCATGCTGTGTTGTATCGGAGAATCCTGCTTTTCCCTTTGTGTATGTTGAGACCTACTGCTGCTGAGGCTGCTGCCACACTGGTCGTCTTTTCCTGCATTTGTTGTTGCGTTTGGGATAGAAGGGCCAGATCATCTGCGAAGTCTAGATCGTCCAACTGCATCTAGATGTCCATTGTATCCCGTGCTTCCCTTCAGATGTTGACGTCTTCATGATCCAGTCGATCACCAGGAGAAAGAGAAAGGGTGAGAGTAAGCAACCTTGCCTAACACCGGTCTTCACTTCGAACGAGTTTGTCAACTGTCCTCCATGCACAATTTTGCAGTTTAATCCATCATATGAACTCTGTATGATATTGACTATCTTCTGAGGCACGCCGTAGTGTCGAAGAAGTTTCCATAGTGTTGTTCTGTCCACACTATCAAATGCTTTTTCGTAGTCAATGAAGTTGATGTAGAGTGATGAATTCCATTCAATTGATTGTTCCACAATGATCCGTAGAGTTGCGATTTGGTCTGTACACGATCTATCCTTACGGAATCCTGCCTGTTGGTCACGAAGTTGGGCGTCTACGCAGTCCTTCATTCTGTTTAACAATGCCCTGTTGAAGACTTTTCCCGGTATTGAGAGAAGAGTGATTCCCCTCTAGTTATCACAGTTGCTGAGATCGCCTTTCTTTGGTATCTTGACCAAAAGTCCTTTTTTCCAGTCTGTTGGTACTTCTTCCTCATTCCAAATCTTATTGAAGAGAATGTGGAGTATCCTTGCAGTTGCCGCTGCGTCTGCTTTCAGTGCCTCTGCTGGAATGTTGGGAGGTCCGTGGGCACTGCTTCGATATTGGGTGGGTTCAGTGGGACTAGTCGATTCAAGAGTTCTTTGAAGTGTTCTACCCACCTGTTTTGTTGCTCTTCAATGTTGGTGATTACCTCGCCTTCCTTGCTTTTCATCGGTCGTTCTAGTTTGCGGCGATTTCCAGAGAGTTTCTTTGCTATGTCATACAGTTGTCTTATGTTTCCTTCTCTTGCAGCCTTTTCCGCCGTCGTTGCTAAATCTTCCATATATTTACGTCTGTCGGTTTCGGTGCTCTTCTTCGCTTGCTCGTTTGCTTTTGCGTATTCAGCTTGTGCCTTGGATTTCTCTTCTCTTATTCGGCTGATAATGATTCCCGCGTTCTTGAGTCTTATCTAGTGTATCAACAGTGATCCATTCCTTGTGATGGTGCTTCTTGTGGCCCAGGACCTCATGACATGTTGAAGTGATTGCCTCTTTGATCCCCTTCCAGTTGCTCTCCACAGTAGTTCCTTCTCCATTGAGTAGATCATGAAAGGCCTGGAACTTGTTGCTGAGGACTATCTTGAATTTGTTGAGTTTGTTAGTATCCTGAAGAAAGGCCGTATTGAACTTTTGTGATATTGTTGCCCCGTTGTCCAGTGCTTCTTGAGTTTCAATTTCATCTTGGCGACCAGCAAGTGATGATCTGATGCTATATCAGCTCCTCTCTTGGTTCTCACGTCCTCTATAGTCCTCCTGAACGTTTTGTTGATGCAAATATGGTCGATTTGGTTTTGCGTGATGTGATCCGGTGAAGTCCATGTGGTTTTGTGTATGCGTTTATGTGGGAATATGGTGCCGCCTATGACCATATATATAGGCACATAGGTTTGCAAATCTCTCACCATTTTCGTTCCTTTCTCCCAGTCCGTGTCGTCCCATGATGTCTTCATATCCAGTGTTGTCCGTTCCAACCTTGGCGTTGAAATCTCCCATCAGAATGGTCAGGTCCTTTGTTGGGCACTTCTCGACGATTGACTGCAGCCTATTGTAGAATTGATCTTTAGCGTCTTCATTGTAGTCGTTGGTAGGCGCATAGCATTGGATGATGTTCATTGAAATACCCTCTTTCTTTGTTTTGAAGGGGCTTTGATGATCCTTGGTCCATGAGATTCCCATCCTATAAGTGCATTTTGTGCTTGTTTGGACAGCATCAATGCAACTCCTTGTGTATGTGGGTCATTTTCTTCTTCATGGCCGGAGTATAACAGAAGCTCTCCTGAAGTTAGTCGTTGTTGTCCAACTTGCGTCCAATGTGTTTCACTGATCCCAAGCACCTCTAGGTTGTATCTCCTCATTTCTGCAGCAATTTGGAAGGCTCTCCCGGTCTCCCATATTGTACGAGCATTCCATGTACCTAAATAAATGGTTGCTCTGGTTTTGAGAAGGGGCATCGGCCTCGCGACTTCCGAAGGAATTCGGCTTTCATCATGAGGCGTCATAACTCTTCTAAATGAAGACCTTCTAACTCCCAGAGCGGAGTTTAAATGGTTTGATTAAGTTTTCTGGTTAGCGTTTTTTTAGTGAGTTATTTTTCTACGAGATGGAGTCGCTAACCCCATGCCCAACTCTTCTCCTTTATTCGGGCTTGGTACCAGCAGTAGCACCGGAGGGGCTCCAGGCGGAGTTGGACAAATGGCATATGAACCAATTATTGCTCACCAGCTACCATGAGACTGCATCTCCTTACGATGCTCCACTACCTTGTGAATCAGACCTTTAGGCCAATGGCTCCTTGTGTGGTCCCCTGAGAAAATCACCTGGTTCGGTTTGGGCACCCGGGCAGTATCACAGCCCATACACGAATCAAGTGACTTGTGTGGCGCATATGCATTCGGTGCCTCTTTGCACCAATATCCATGTGTTTAAATAAATAAACAAACAAGTCTGACAATTAAAGTATTTCAACTTCGTGAATAGGATCAACATCTGTTCCTATCTTTAAAAGTCCACATAGTTTCTACAACTTTTGGTGGATTGTGTTCTAACTACTGGCTTGTTCAAAATCTTGAGAAGACTGACTCATAAGATGTAGGCTAGTTTCCGTTCCGTGAGATAAATGTTATATACATATAAAGATAGAGAAACCGTTCTGTTTGAGGAAAACGGTTTATTGAAAATCTTGTAACTAAACATTACTCATATATTTTGTGAATTCATTGTCAACTGGACCATGACCAACGTGAATTACTTATCAGTTGTCATTGTTATGATATTTTAATGTCATGCCAACTTATCAGACACTTTGAGAGTGTTATAACTTGTAGCCTTGTGCCCTATTAATATATAACGGAATGATACCGCCAATTAGAGAACAGTGATTTATGGACCGGACCAATGACGTATAAACACGTACGAGCAATCTAGAGTCTTTATAGGTCCTAATTCCTGCCTAGCCCTGCCTGTTAAGTCCAGAACATCAATCTCAGACTCTGTGATATGAATCATGTATTTCAAACATACCGGGTTTATGTGCTAACCAAACGGACCACATTGCATCACAAAATAGGAACCAACATTTGTACAAGATCTAGCCAAAGGTGACTGTGAATGTAGGAGACTGTAATTGATAGATATCTCAATTTCAATAGCTTTTCTCTAATCAATTACAAAAATGGCACTTGTCAAAACGCTTTGACAGAACAGAAAAAATATTTACTGCCGATACATTCGAAGAAGAAGTTATGAATGTTGAAAAGTGTTTAAGGAATAATGGATACCCACTGAAATTAATTGAGAAATATGGAAAATGTAAAGATAAGAAACTCAAAGAAACTACAGTCATTAAAAAATCTAGTCTTATTCACCTCAGGTTCAAAGGTGATAATGTC